TACAAAACCAAAGTTCACGATCCCGTCTTTTAAAGAAGACTACGATCCAGAAAAGTACATCGATTAGGAAGGAAAAGTTGATCTCTTGTTCGCATACCATGACTGCCCCCAAGCTGAACAAGTTCCCCTCATCACCTTGGAATTCCAAGGATATGCTCACACTTGGTGGATGCAAACAAGGAAAAAGATCGACAGCTACCAAATTCAACCAATCACTTCTTGGACCGAACTCAAACATGCCATGAGGAACCGATTCCTACCGACACATTATACACGAGAAGTTAAACAACGACTACACCGACTTCGACAAGGTAGAAGTTTAGTTGAAGATTACTACAAGGAGATGCAGTCCTTACTCAATAGGGCTAACATAACTGAAGAAGAAGAGGACACCATGTCAAGATTCGTCGTCGGCTTGAACTCAAACATCACTGATCTTCTTGACGTCCATGGATACGAAAACCTTGAAGATACACTAAAGAAAGCAATGACAATCGAAGTACAAATCCAAAGGAGATTCCGAGAACATTACCAAGGTACTTCATCCTCTTACCAAGGTAATCCTTCAAATCCTTCCTCGTCTTCTGCTCCATCTTCTCTAAAAAAGCTAAGAGATGACAAACCTGACAAGGAGAAAGAACGACCAGCAAAGAATGACACACTTCCAGCCCCTAAAGATCAAATGATAATTTGTGAGGAGGTAGGGAAAGCAAAAAAAGAAAAAGCTGAGAAAGAGGCAAAAGAAAAAGAGGTCACTAGTTACAAAAGCCAAAAGAATAATGACCCATGGGAGGTGAGTGAACCTAATTGTGAGAAGAAAAGAGTGACTCAAAATCTATGTGTGAGCATAAAAGAATTGAGAGAGAACCTTTTTTGCAAACAACCTTCCATCCTTATTCGCTTTAGAGAATCAATTGTTTCGATTTCTAACATTAACAAGGATTTGCCTAGTGTGTTTTCATCTTTGTTACAGGATTTTCAAGAAGAATTAGGTGATCCACCTGACGGATTACCACTGGAAAAAGGAAAACAACACCAAACCAATCTAATTCAAGGTTACATCATACCTCGTCAAACATACAATCTCGAAGAAACCAAAGAGTTAAATTTGTTACAAAAAGGCTACATCCATGAAAGCCTTAGTCGTAACGTCATCTTAATGATGAAACATGACTTGAACAACTCCACATGCTTTATAGTTCATGCACAGGGAATCCATGTAAATGATGAGAAAGTAAAAACAACACGAGACTAGCCCACACCATCTTCTATCGCCAAGAGTTGTCGAATAGTGCTAGGTGACCCTCCTGACGGGTTACCACCTGAAAGCCCTAATCACTATGCTATATCAATGAAGAGTCATGATTTACGAGAGTCCAAAGGTAAGTATTTTATTACTCATTTTAATGAAATTGTAACATACTTCTTCTCCTTCTTACAAGGTAAGGCTCGTGAAGTTGTCATCCATACTAAACACAACTCCTTTAAGTGCGTAACATAACGAGGTAAGCAAAACACAGTAGACGATACACTACCACGAAGGTATACTCTTACCTATCAAACTCATACTACTATTCCGAGAATTGAACATATCAAAGATTTATATCCCGATAACTCGGATATTTTTTATATTTCTACCCATACTTTTAAAAGTTCTTTTAATGAGCTTTATCTTGTATATGAGTTTCCTTGCCAACTAAACAGGTTCTACAGTCCACAAAGCTCCTCCCGGGAATCATTAATTCATGAACCCCACTTAGGAGACTTAAGGGATTACTTTAACAAACCAGTTGACATGGTTTTTAAACACTCATTCTTGCCACACATAAATAAAACCATGGAGAAATTATCTGAAATAATCATACATAAAGCCAACAGTGGCCGGTACCATGTTGAATTTCAACCAAAACATCAGATTACAAGACTTGTATGCAAAAGAGGATTTCAAGACTTCAAGAAATCAGTTCCTACAAAGAAGAAACCTCGACTAAAACGCATAAAGACACATCACATTGATCCTGGTAAATGTTTCACAAGTTTTTCTTTCAACACATCTAAATCTCTTTCTTTTGGATTTTCAGATTCGAGGACGAATCCTTTTGAGGAGTGGGGGAATGATACATGCACCAGAGTCCATAATACATGCTTCTTTGGACTAATGTTTCTACTCGAACCTATTAGAAGAACAAAGTCTCGAAGATTCAAAGCATATCTATTTGGTAAGTATAATGTGAATGAATCATTAAACGATTCTAATGTTGCTCCCTTTAATGTTTCAGATTCGAGGTCGAATATTTTTGAAGAAAGGGAGGATGATACATGCATCACAAGGCTCACATCAAAGGAAGAAGTAATAATTCTTCCAAATGATCCACTCGTCCAAGCATTGGAAAAGAAGATCAGAACAGAAGCAGACTTACGACGACTTTTTGAATGGGATCCTGATCTTATTTAGTCAATATGTCTACTGTATATACGACCTTCTGTCTCTTATCTTTCCAACGGTTCTTGAATCGCATCAATCTGATATCAGGAACTCAATATATAGCTATTTTACTGAAGATGGTGCATGCAGAAAATCCTATACGGGATTAATACGGGATTTTGTAAATATTACGAATTTTCAATATTTTTATTGATTATTTGTAATATAACTTAATATAGGATGATGCATTATCCTTTAGGATTATATTTATTATTTTATTAGGAATTAAGGTTGGGTTAAAAATATTATCTTTAGTTATTATTATTTTATTAGGAATTAGAGTTAAGATATGATTAGTTTATTATTATTTTATTCATTAGTTATTTAGGACCTTTAGAACTCAGCCTCTATATAAAGGAGGCTTCATTAAACTTTGTAATTCAAGATTTCTTTGATTAATAATACAACGAGAGTTCATTTTTGCAAGTGCTGATTGCCTTGTGCCTTCGAAGCTTCTTCTCCGGGAGTTCTTTCAAGTTCTTGTGAGGGAGATTAATCTTCAAACTCCAATTTGCCTTTTCATCGCGACTAGGAGGGTTGGTTAGAGCCATTTATCGAGTTTGCCTTTTCATTGCGACTAGAAGGGTTCGATAGGATACTTATCCATATATTTTTCCACAAATCCATCTGCACCATCAATCATCTTTACCGTCCACCTTCGTAAGGGAGATCTTTTGATTTCTTTATTATCTTATTTTATTTTATTTTCAATTTCTTTATCTTTTGTTTATTTTGTTCTAATCTTATTGCCTTGAAGAAACCCTAAAGAATCCTAGTTACTGCTGCCACCTTCCCCTATTCATCCCCTTTGTTCTTAATCGAGTCTAGAGCTTTCTAGGTTTGATTCTTCAACAAGAGCAACGTTCATTAACCCGTCACCGCTTCCCTATCACTAGCTCTGTTGGGTCAGTTACTGGGCCGATTCAAGTCGGGTTTGTAGTCTGTTGAGTCAGTCGGGTCTGGGATCCGGGTTGCTTTGTAATGGCTTTGGGCCTGGGTTCTTGTAAACTAGTTGGATTTTAAGTTTAGGCCTGCAAAATGTAAATATTTTTGTTAATAATAATAATAATAATAATAATAATAATATTTTTTCGACTTGGACAAAAATATATTTCAACAATATAAAGATATAAATTAACATAACTAGTATTTTTTCGACCCGGACAAAAACATATTTCTACAATATAAAGATATAAAAATAACACAACCGATTACATTAATATAAGTGGTGGATGGTATGGATAAGAAAGCATAAAGAGAAGAATATAACAAGTAATAGTGTTGAAAGCTTGCATAATTGTGGTGGGATCGATTGCGGTCCGAGCAGCTAATGGGCTACGAATGTAGGTCTTTGGATCTCTTTAACTAAACTTGCATTCTTCACCAGCCTTCCTACTTGTCTTTCTCCTTTTTCTTTAATGCCAGCTTTCATTGCCCTCTCTTTTTGTTGATGACCTATGAACGCATTGCAAAATTCAATCAAGTTTTGGAATTGTATATCATCAAGGCCTTAATTCTTGCATACAAAATATTCTACCCCTCTATTTAATAGGTCCTTGTTGGTAAGTTTGACTCTTAATAATGACTGTATTATGGGGCGGGTCCTAGATTTTGGATCATTATTGTATATATAATTATTGATGGAAAAAGTGAGATTACAATGATGTTGGCAGTTCATTATTTTTTATTTGGATGGAGAGTGGTAACAGATTATTCTATATGCAGTGACGGATCATCATAGGGACCAATAATAATTTTAGTCCTTGTCAAATAATTTTTTTATGTTAATTTAATATTAAAAAAGTTATATTTTTTAGAAATAAATAAATGAGCTCTATTAGACTCCCTCAATTGAAAAACAATAAGTATTATTTATGTGATACCCTTATATATTATCAAGCTTTTTTATTATATTTTGACCTCTCTTTTAGTAAATTCTTAGTTTCATCTTTGTTTATAAGAAATGAGAGAACAATCAAGTTAAAGATAACGATAAATAATCATTAAGGAAGAGATGAAGGGAAGAGTTCAAGAGAGAGAGGGTCCCCTTTCTTCATCTTTCGAACGCTACTCATAAGTTGGCAAGAAAAATATATCTAATTATTAGATATTAGATTGTAGATCTTGTGGAGGTGTTGAAAGTCACATCAAGGAGTTATAGATGTTCGGAGAACACAAAATTTTGAAGGTTTCAAAAAACTCCAAAAAATTGAAGCTTAAGAGGTTTAAAAAAACTCTAGAGGCCTAACACTCAATAGACTAAAAATAACAATAAATATTTAGCTTTCGAAGAAATATAAAAATAATTAATAAAATTTCAAAATTTGTAAGTAAAGTTAAGATACTAAGCCTACCAGAATTTTCCATTTGTTTGACAAGCCCAATTCATTTATGAGAGAGGGAAAAGATATATTGTTAGGAGGAAGGAACCACTCAAAATGAATTTTTTTTTTTTCTGAATATGAATTATAGAATGGACCTCAATCCTTTTTAAATTAGTATATTGCTAAAAATTGAAGGTATGGACTTTTATTGAAATTATTATATAATCATATGATGTGATATGGAATATAAACATAACAAATACATTACAATTTTGAATGACAAACCAGTATACGTATCCAAATATTCAACACCCAAACAAACATTCTATCAATTTTATGAAACCCAGAACAAATCAAACTATAATACTATATCCTCCCCACACTTACCTTGAACAACGATGACCCTCCGCTACCTTTCCTTACGAGCAAATTCACAGTTGACAATGTGAAGTTTGATGAATCCAAATCTCTATGAAAGTGGACGGGGTTGCAAGTAAACTCGAAGGCCCTTCTTCATAAACAGAGTGAGAGACATCTTCTGCTCCACCCTGTGTCCAGGAACCAGAGAAAGCCGGTAACGCAGCAGCACAGCTGAGGCCACTGATTTCATTTGCAAGTAAGCCAAGTCTTTCCCCAAACAAGTCCTTGGTCCGGCGTTGAATGACACGAACTTGTAACCATCCTTTGGTGGATCGAATTTTTCACCTTCTGGTGTCAGCCACCTTTCAGGTCTAAACTCCATGCAAGCTTCTCCCCATATAGTCTTCATTCTTCCCACTGAATATATTGAATATGTCACCGTCGAGCCCGCCGGAACGAATGTTCCGTCGGGTAAGACATCGTCTTGGACAACGTATTTGAAGTCCTGGGGTACTGAGGGGTATAAACGTAGAGTTTCGGCTAATGCTGCTTTTAGATATACCAATCTTTCGGCTTCGTCAAACACCAAAGGCTCTTCGAGCCATTTCTTGTGATCAGAACCACGTGTGTCGCGAAGAACTGTAGATATTTCGTTGATGATCTTTTGTTCAACCTCTGGGTGATTCATGATGAGCCAGAAGAACCAGCTGAGGGCTACGGAAGAGGTGTCCCTTCCGGCGAGGACGAAGTTTAGAGCAATGCGTTGGAGAACATCGCTCGTAAAGGGGTTGCCCTTAACGTCTCTTCTCTTCATGAAGCGGGATAGTAAGTCATCTGATGGAGCTTCTTTTCGTGCTTCAATGGCACCCTTCATGTAGTTTTCAACGATTTGTAGGCTACTCTTCAATCTTTTCTCTGCTCCAATCCCCAAAATCTTCTCCAATCTCCATAGAAAACCAGGGTAAAGAAGCCTATTTAGAGTTGTTTCGGTGGCAGTGTCGAAAGCCATAGCAAATGGATTTTCAGGCAAATCAGGAGAAAGTGTTTGAGGATCCTTACCAAAGGTAAGGCCACAAATGTTGTCAAACGTTAACCGGAGCAACAAGTCTTGCAAGTCTATCGGTTCCTTGTCGTTGGCTGCCTTGTCCAAAATACACCATAGTCGGTTCTTGATGGTCCTATTCACCCACCGAGACATGGCTTGCCTGAGTGTCCTGGTTGTGAACTCAAGCGCTGCTGTTTTCCTTTGAATGAGCCAGGTCTCTCCATCACTATTGAAGATCCCTTGCCCCAACAGATCATGAAACGCAGCTTGCCAATGAGGCCCCTTCGGGTAATTATCGAACCGAGTCCGAAGAATGTGCTCAATGTTTTTGGGATGACAAGTGACGGTGTAGAACCCTTGCTTGCGAGCCAAGAAAGGAAGAGCAATGGTGCACGTTTGGTAGGTGGCTGAACCACCAGTGGCTCGAAGGTTACTAGCAATCCAATCATGGATTCTCCACCTGTTCATGAAAAGAAGCGGTAGGCTACCGACAAGAGGCCATACTCTCGGACCGGATAACTTCCTGGCTAGGAAATGGAACCAGATTGAGTAAGCAAATACTGCAGCAGCTAAGCTGAACACCAACTGAAGGGTTTCCATGGGATATTGCAGAATTTAATTTTGAGAGAGATTGGTAGTAAAGAAATTATATATAAAGTGATACAAATGAGAAATGTTTAGGCAGAGTTGTTGGGAAATTTTAGTCCATTGAAGAGAGGTTCGCTGTTGGGTTGATATGAAATACATACGTGAGGTAATTTACACGAAAACCATGCAAAGAATCTAATTACCTTGGTTCTGTCTTGATCAAAGTAATTGTTTTCCGACAAAAGCCAACAGTTTTATTTGGGGCCAACCCAAAAGCCAACACCCTCATCTTCCAAAGAGAAAAGAGAAGTGGTTGGGGATAGTTTACCCAAACCGAGAAAAATGGGTTACTGTTACAGACCCTAGACGTGCGGAAATATTCATGTAATGTTCCGAGCTACAAATTTGACTCCATTTGAGTGGGTAGTTTCAAGACAAGGGAATCTTTTGGAAGAAGAAAAGAAAATCATTAAGTGCTAAAGAAGTTAAATCTCACCAAACCCAATTGATTTTCTCTTTTCTTTTGAATTACCAATACCAAGTTCAACCTCCTCATTATTCATGGTTTATGCAACTAACAAAATGGAAGGGGCAGAACTGCATATAACCCCTAAACAAGCCCATATATTATTATAACCCATTTTTGTCATCGTATGCCATGATCCATGGGATATTCTAACACCAAAATATTATAGGACGCCCCAGAAGGGGTGTTAGTTCAATGCCAATGTTAAATTAAATTTCATAAGAACTTTGATGTTCGAATTTGACTTTCATCTCTATAGCTGTTAAATTCTTCACTAGGTTAAATTATGTTTATAATCCTTTATAGTGAAATTTAAGATTTAAAACTCATTAAATTGATACTATTATTATTACTAAAACATCTTAAATTCATAAATACGAAACTGTACAGGATTAAATTAAAATTCTCTTACCAAAATGGAACAAAGCTTGATTTGTTAAATTGCTAAATTTTTATCTCATTTTCTTTAGGTGACCAATTTGCCACGCGAGAGACCCCATATCCATATCTGCTAAGATCAATTCTCACATCTTTTTTCGCTACAAGAAAAATAGAAAATAATTAAATTTTGAAAAATTCAATAAGGAAGATAAGACACTTGTGGAGAGCTCGTGGTACAAACACTACGCCCCATTGTTTTCCCACTCATCATATCTTAAAATCCCCAATCCAACGGTCCAAAATTCACAGCAAACATTATCTCCGTAAACGTATATTTCCCCATTGTGCACCACCAATCATTTCAATACGAGGAAGAAGAAGAAGAAAAAAGCAAAGCAACATCAATGGCTTCTCTGCCTATCTTTTCCTTTGTTCCTTCGACAACAAGGGTTTATGCAACGGCTGCAAAAGGTGCAGGTGGAGGCAAAGAAGAGAAAGGGCTTTTCGATTGGATTCTGGGAGCTTGACCAAGGAAGACCAGTTCTATGAAACTGACCCTCTCCTCAAGAAAGTTGAAGAAAAGAATGGTGGCACTTCCAGTGTTCGCAAGAACTCTGTTTCAATCCCTCAGAAGAAGAACGGCAATGGCGGTGGCTTTGGACTTGGTGGACTTTTTAAGAAGTGAAAAGAGACTTGTAATTTATCCCAATCAGGCAGCCTCTTGGGGAAGTTTCAATATTGGTTTGGAATTGATTCAGGTTTTGTATCTTCAATACTATGAAACCTTTCTTCATTCTTGAACACTAAGCTGTTGTTTATAATTTCCTTCAATGCACACTGCTTTAGTCTTTAAAAATTACTATAATTCATTTATTAGTTAGTGTTTGTGGTTATAGAAATTAAGTAGAATGATTGTGGCCATTGGGGAATGGACCAGAATCCAAGAAGACAGACAGGATTAGGTGAAAAACTAAATCATGTTTCGCCCTCTTTCTGAGTAATTATTCTTATCATTAAGATTTGATTATATATGTATATATAGGAAACTAAAAACATTGATTTGCTCTTGTTACATTCAACTGCATCTGGTTCCTAACTCGTTTATGTCATATATGGTTGAACATCAGATTTGCTTGGCATCTTGCCTTGTTGTGTAGTGTTTGCTTTAGGAAAATGATGTCATTTCCAAATTCCAAGCATGACTTTGTTTAATCCTGGGGTTCAAATCAAGCTTTGGCTGTGAACAAGATGTATAAATTGGGTGTGATTGTTGGGTGCCAAATGACAAACGATAAGGATGAATGTCAAACTATTCGGCATGTCGGTTTTGGTCTTTTGGCTAACCTAGTCTCCTCCGTCCCTTGGGGGCCAACGAAGGATAGTACAGAAATATTTACATGTTGTCCATCGACTATATGCACCGAAGCAAACATAGCCAGGCATTCTGTGCAAAGTCTGCCAACGAAGCTAAGAATTCTAATATCATGTGGATTGGAAAACATACCATGTGGCTGCTGTCTCAACTCAAGTCTTATGCATTTGGATCGGGTATTGCTCCTCTTTGAATATTGTAATAACTTTAAGGTTTAGAAATTTCTTTTAGAGAAGTGTTAAAAAACAAATAAATATAGCTAGTGGTCTGATATGGAAACCTATGAAACACAGCAAATTTGCTGGTAAGCCTGTCTGAAATATGCACTCACAACAAGATGTACACAGTGATAGAAACCAAACCAAAAGGATAACATAAGATACTCCATTGTCTTTCATAGGTAAACTAAACAAGCCTTTACTTCCATTATCTAAACAGAAAACGATAATGTACATATAAGCTAGTAGGAATAGATAGGATGCTTAACATTTTCATCAAACCATGTTTTTTGACCATTAAGTTCAAGGAGAATTATATAGCAGAAACAGAGTTTGATCTAGGCAAAGAGGCAGAAGAGTTGATAAATTTGATGCAGTCTTCGATGGCAGCATTTCTATGAGAATCAGCAGGAGTTACAATCGGTTTCGATCTTCCTAATGAAGAAGAGGTAGAAGAAACCTTACGGGAAGGCCTAATTCTCATGGACACAACATGTAAACCTTTAGCTGCTTTGCCACCGAGGTTCTTGAGAAACCTTACAGGAAAGAATTCCGATGTTCTGCATCTCATGTAGCCACAACTGGTAACCGTTATGTTCCCAGCAGCCATGGTGGTATTAGGCTCTTGCATAACTGAGCCATTTGGCTTGTTGGTTCCTTTTTCCTGACCGACTTTGTTGGTCCCTTGAGTTGCCATCTTCTGCAATTAGCTCAAATTTGAGAGAAAAGAGTAATAGTTATTGAGTTGCAGATAAACTCGGTGGATGGAAAATGGGGTGAGGTGGATGGATGATAGAGCTTGACAAATATATAAGGAATTAAAAATTTAAGGAAAAAGGTTATAAATAAATATGGCCCAACACTTGATAGTGAAGATTGAAGAGGTTTTTGTAATCAAAACCCAAATCATGGAAATTTTCTTAAATGAGATGCCCTACAAGGCATGATAATAAATAATTAAGAAAAAAGAATCTTATAAAAGTTAGGCCTAGTAATAAGACATTGTATTTTTAAAAGAAAATTTTATACTTGAATTTTAAAGACTACATTATTGAAAAAAATAATTACGGATTTCAAATATAAATTTCAAGACGGACATGAAACATAAAAAAAAATCAAGATAGATGAATGCTGCTTTTGATTATTTATTTTTCTTGAATATATTTATGTCGGATATACACAATTATCCGAAACGGTAAATATTACAATGAGCATAGCATATGAACTAGCGTTGCAACCAGCAGGTGTTTGCAAATATATGTCATACATTGAGCCCACGAATCTACTTACTTTCATGTATGCACCAGCATTTCGCATCATAAATGTATCTATTATGAATTTAAAAATCAGCGTGAATATATCTTATTGGTTTTCAAAACACTTACATCATGATGACTAAAGCTAAAAAGAAGAGACACCCCTCTATGCAAGGCTACAAATGAAAGACGAATTGCCATCATTGTCTACTGTGTTTGAAGGGGGGCCTGGAATTCTTATATTCACACGGGTGGGCAATAAACTATAAAACTACAACTAACATCAAATCATGCTATCCATTAAAAAAAATGTTGGCACTTGCCAACAAGCTTTAGATATAAAAAATTTAACAAAGCACAAGTTAGGGTAGCCTGCTTTCAGTTTTCTTTGATTATTTACTGCTCTTTTTCGTTTGGAATCCGAATCTCTAAAAGGGATGTTTCACACAAAGAAAAGGTGGTGGGTTTATTTTAATTGAAATTTTTTTGTTTTTTTAGGAGACCCTTCTGCTATTCTTCCCTGTAGTAAAAGAAGTTTTAGGTGGCATGACTTTTTTGATAAATCTATATATCTGAAAGTTTCAAACTTAAAATCCACTTCTGCAGTTAATTGCAGATAGTGTTTTACGTGTCCAGAAATCCAAAACCACAGTACACGGATGAAATAGAAGAAAATTTCTTTTCTCAGAGCAAAAAATGGATGCAAAAGCTTTCATTATGTTTAAGGATTTTAAGCCTGATTGAGATCAAGACAAGGGACCTAACACGACAGCCTAACTAATGGATAAATTCTCTGCCGAAAGCTGGATTCACATAGATTCTTCCTACCCTGTTTCCATTTTTTAACTTTTCACTAGATACACGTAGTTTGGAGTTCAGAGGTATCTGATTAAGGCAAATCTCCACTAAATGCAAAGTGCAGTCATGAGTTCCAGTCCACTCGTTTATCAAATGTCGGAAAACCTATTTGATTATAATGGTGTTGGATTTGTTGGTGATGAATTGAAGGCAAAACTTGAAGCCAATATATGCCTGCAATTCTTGGTTAACTTGATGCATGAATAATAAGATTTTATCAGGCTTTAGAGATGAACAAACCAGGCCGATTCATTGTAATATCTAGTAACTTTGAACTTTGAAGTTCTAATCCTGAAATCCACAATCCGAAACTAAAAAGAAGAAAAGGGTTCCTAACCACTCAACCCAAGGCTGAAAAGTTACTGCAGCAACTACCAAACACCAGAAGACCTTTACTTCAGGACACATAAAACCCAGA